TTGACATGCTGTCAGTACGAGTCAACAACATAATACACACATATGCTGACTGGTCAAAACAAATAGCGGTTTGCTTTTTTGTTGCTAATGTAGAATCTTATCCAAGTTCATGAAAGAGCGGAGTTGAGATATAAAGGGCTGAATAAATCAAATTAAGTTGGGGAAAAAATATTAAATGTGTGTGTTTTTATAGAAATGCTCTTCTGGAGGCAGACATCAATAAGCTCGGTTTCAGCTCTCCTGCTGCTCGTAAAACCGGCACCACCATTTGTGGAGTCGTTTACAAGGTAAGAAAAAAGCATAGATGGGTGTAATATCTTAAAGTAAACGGTTCAACTTCATAACCTCATATCTGTCCAAAAAAAAAGGTGACCTAAAAGGAAAATCGCCAAATAAAAATCATCTCTCTGGCTCTCAGGATGGTGTTGTTTTAGGTGCAGACACTCGTGCGACTGAAGGAATGGTCGTCGCTGATAAGAATTGCTCTAAAATTCACTACATCTCTCCCAACATATAGTGAGTACAAACACATCGTTATAGACCGTTTTACAATGAAACTAATTTACAATCGCTGAAATCCATTGCCATTGTTCTGAAACCCTCTCGCTCTCTCTTCCTCTTGTTCTGAAGCTGTTGTGGAGCCGGTACCGCGGCGGACACTGAGATGACCACACAGATCATCTCCTCCAACCTGGAGCTCCATTCTCTGTCCACCGGCCGTCTCCCACGAGTCACCACCGCCAACCGCATGCTCAAACAGATGCTCTTCAGGTAATGAATCATCACAGTGCTCCATGATGAATAATTAAGGTTTTTAAATGTTTTTGAAAGAAGGCTGGATGTTACTGATTAAAGATACAGTAAAACGGGTATATTGTGAAATATTATTACCATTTAAAAGAACTGTTTTCTATTTGAATATATTTGAAAATGTATTTTATTTCTGTGATGCAAAGCTGAATTTTCAGCATCATTACTCCAGTCTTCAGTGTCACATGATCCTTCAGAAATCATTCTAATATGCTGATTTGCTGCTCAAGAAACATTTCTTGTTATCAAAGTTGAAAACCGTTGTGCTGCTTAATTTATTTTATTTAAATTTTTTTGTGGAAACCACAATACACTACCACTCAAAGTTTGTAAGATGTAAAAAAAAATATTCAGCAGTCTTCATCAGTGAAGACATTTCTAATGTTACAAAAGACTTGTGCTTCAAATAAATGCTTTTCTATTCATGTGAGACTGAAGACTGGAGTAATGATGCTGAAAATTCAGCTTTTTTGAATAAAGTACGGTTCTAACAATTCAAATAATCCGTTATTTTAAGTTGTAATAACAATTCACAATATTACTGTTTTTATTGTGTTTTTTGATAAAATATGTGCAGCCTTGGTGAGCATAAGAAACTTGTTTCAAAACCATAATACAAATCTTTATTCCAATCTTTTGATCGGGAGTGTATACCCTGTGTTTTCATATGTAGGTATCAGGGATATATTGGCGCTGCGTTAGTCCTTGGAGGGGTTGACTGCAATGGCCCACACTTATACAGCATCTATCCGCACGGATCAACAGATAAACTGCCCTACGTCACTATGGGTGAGTTACACTTACATACCTATGAATCATCTTCCCATTCCACCAAAAGAGGGAGACATTGTGTTTCTGAAAAGCTTTTGATTGGTGCCAAAATAGATGTCTCTCTGACTGACTGGCTTTGCTAGTGTCCCCCGTGTGACAAGATAACATGCATCATTTAATCTGTTATTGCAGAAGATGATCCTTTTGATTGGCTGTTTCTCACTGGTAACATTAGCATGTGTTTGTCTCATCAGGTTCTGGATCTCTGGCAGCAATGGCAGTCTTTGAGGATCGCTACAGGCCTAATATGGAGGTAACCCTCCCTCGTGTGCATTTACGTGTCTTTTTGGCTCTTTTTTTACTGTTCAGAAGTTTGATCTTAGCAAGGCTTTTTTTTTTTTAAGAAATTATTACATTTATTCAGCAAGGATGCATTAAATTGATAAAAAGTGACAGTAAAGACATTTATAATGTTGCAGAATATTTCGTTTTTAAAGAATGGTGTTCTTCTGAACTTCCGGTTTCTCATAGAATCCCGAAAAAAAATTAACAGTTTCCACAAGAATATTAAGCAGCACAACATTTATAGAAACATTAACAGCATTTATAGAAATAAGCACTAAATCAGCATATTAGATTGATTGCTGATTGATCATGTGACACCGAAGACTGGAGTAATGATGTTAAAAATTCAGCTTTGCATCACAAATTACATTTTATAATCAAATTAGAAATCAGTTATTTTAAATTGTAATAATCTTTTGCAATATTATGTTTTTACTGTATTTTTAATCAAATAAATGCAGCCTTGGTGAGCATAAGGGACTTTTCAAAAACATTAAAAAAAACAACCTTAAAGTTTTGAATGTTATTGTATATATTCAGGATTCAAAACAGATATGGACAAATTTACAATATCTGAGAATTCCCCCCAAAACAGTGATTTTTAAACTAAAGTCATGGGAGCTCATCTTACTAATTCTTAGAAATACATGCGTAGTAATTTTGGGTTTGATATTTGAAATATGAGCTGTAAATTGCTTTTTGTGAATGCAATATTCCTGTAAATTAGTTAAAACACATGGGAAGAGTGTAATCCATTGCAGTTAGCATAATGATGCTGCTGGTTGTGTCGATCAGGAGGAAGAGGCCAAGCGTCTGGTGCGGGATGCGATAGCGGCCGGTATCTTTAATGACCTGGGCTCAGGCAGCAACATCGACCTGTGAAGACTGGAGTAATGATGTTAAAAATTCAGCTTTGCATCACAAATTACATTTTATAATCAAATTAGAAATCAGTTATTTTAAATTGTAATAATCTTTTGCAATATTATGTTTTTACTGTATTTTTAATCAAATAAATGCAGCCTTGGTGAGCATAAGGGACTTTTCAAAAACATTAAAAAAAACAACCTTAAAGTTTTGAATGTTATTGTATATATTCAGGATTCAAAACAGATATGGACAAATTTACAATATCTGAGAATTCCCCCCAAAACAGTGATTTTTAAACTAAAGTCATGGGAGCTCATCTTACTAATTCTTAGAAATACATGCGTAGTAATTTTGGGTTTGATATTTGAAATATGAGCTGTAAATTGCTTTTTGTGAATGCAATATTCCTGTAAATTAGTTAAAACACATGGGAAGAGTGTAATCCATTGCAGTTAGCATAATGATGCTGCTGGTTGTGTCGATCAGGAGGAAGAGGCCAAGCGTCTGGTGCGGGATGCGATAGCGGCCGGTATCTTTAATGACCTGGGCTCAGGCAGCAACATCGACCTGTGTGTGATCACCAAGGGGAAGGTGGACTACCTGAGACCTCATGACATGGCCAACAAGAAGGGAGTCAGGTGAGCATCTGTACTGCCAGAGGAACATCACCTCTTACACACCTGTCTAAACTTTGCAGTCACACTTGCTGCATGATGGCATGGAGGCAGTGATGAAATCTGTGTAATCAGTCTAATTCACGTGAACATCTGAGTGTGCTTTTTAAAAAGAATCTTAAACTGACATAAATGCCAGCTTATATGATTAAGAAAAGGCATGTTATGATTGTTACATAATCAGCTTATTGCGATTGTTGTGCAGTCTAGTCACAAATGGTCTGTTAATGCAGGCCGCCACATGTGTGCATGATATTAATCAGAGAATTTAACCAAATGAAAGGCTCATGCTTCACTGTTCCCTTTTAAGGGAGGATAAGGTTTATGGACGCCCTGTGTGAGTAACCCATGTGTTCAAACGTGCACCACGTCTTGACAAAACTGTAACCTGCATGTGTTTGACTAACCAGGCGTGAGTTTGAAGTAGTTGAGTTGTTCAAACTGACAAGCTGTTTGGTGATTTTTCTCTTACAGTCTTCTGCTTACATCATTATACATGTTTTTGTAGAGCACCAAAGTGCATTTCCCTGGTCTGGATTGGTTTTATTTTGTCCTGACTAGAGTCGTGTGTGATTAGGCTTTAGTTTCTTTGCAGGAGTTGATTGTGTATTTTCCTCACAGGACCGGAAGCTACAGGTACAAGCATGGAACTACCGGGGTTCTGACGAAGGCCGTGACTCCTCTGAACCTGGAGGTGGTGGAGGAAAGTGTGCAGACCATGGACACCTCCTGAGATGACACAAACCACCACGCTTTGTTTGTTTCAACCTTTACCATTGACCCCAAGTCTTATGTGGTGGTTTAGTCATTTTTCATTATTTCCAATAAAAGACATTGTAAGTTGAAGTTTGTCTTTCTTCTGCATCCATTATCATTTATTTCAGATAACCTATTATTTTGTGTTTTTAATATAAAAGTATGGCAGGCAAATTCAATTTTGGGTAGGCCTCTTATGCTCACCCAGGCTCCATTTATTTGATCAAAAATACAGTGTAATAGTAATCTTGTGAAATTTTAATAGAATTTAAAATAACTATTTTCTATTTGAATATATTTTAAAATGCTATTTATTCCTGTGATGCAAAGCTGAATTTTCATCATCGTTACTCCAGTCTTCAGTGTCACATGATCCTTCAGAAACCATTCTAATATGCTGTTTGGCTGCTCGAAACATTTCTTATAAATGTTAAAATCAGTTGTGCTGCAAAATTTTTTTTATGAATTCTTTGATAAGCTCAAAAGAACAGCATTTATTTGAAATAGAAATCTTTTGCAGATGTGCTCAAGTTACAGTAGCTAAAGGGTTGAAATACAAATAAGTGTATTATGTTTTTTATGTGATAAATGATAGTACTTATTATATTTGCTTATCACCAGGGAGCGCTAAATAAAAACCGTAGATGATACAAATTCTCAATTCATAATAATTTGGGTCTTTTTCTTCAGGAAAATCTAATATAAACAACACTAATGGAAATGATTTAAAACGCTTCAGATGTCCGTCAAAACAAAGCTGTCGCAAAGTCAATATTTCCAGTTACATTTTATTGTTAATTACACATTTAAACATGAGCAAATGCTTCAAAATTCCTTAAAAATAACATCTCTTTGGATATAATGAATACTTTCATATGGTAGATATTTGACCAGAGAACAAAACTGCTGAATCCACCATCCAACACGTGTTTCCTTGCAAAACACTTGACAGTTGTGTGTGTGTGTGTGTGTGTATCAGATACATAAAGAGAGATAAGTAACAAACTAAGGCTCTTTAAATGCTGTTATGAATATAAGCCTACAGTAAAAGTATGTATAAATGGAACCACCTTGCTTTGATATCATCAACATGAGGCACTGGTCACCTGACCTGACCAACTTTCTCTGAACCAATCAGCATACGGCACTGATACATAATTTGAAGGCACAACAGAATATATTGGCATTCCTTTCAATACAAATCTAGAGAAACGCTCAGCTTAAAACAGTATAGACACTGTTGGCATTCTCTCCTTACTCATTTCTAGATCTTTCTATAGCCTGATCAGTTGGACTGAGAGAGCAGCAGAGATCACAGGTTTGCGCAATGGTTCTCCTCATTGCTGCAGGTGTGTGTGTTTGTGTCAGGTGCTGGACGTCCACAGGTGCATCTGTTTGGCGAACTGCAGGACGAAGCTGATGTCGGGCCGCTGGTCAGGATCTGGGTTGATGCACATACTGACCAGATCTCTGAGCTGCAACACATACAAGGTGAAAGTTAACTATTGCAAATGCATCATGCAGCACTATGAAGTGACAATAGCTCTAAAAGCTCTACAGCATCATGCATGATTGTGCTCACTGGAGTATTGAGATGTTAGCTCATGGTTTTCATAACAGAGGCATGTAATGCTGTGTGTGTGTGTGTTGTACCTTCTGTGAGTAGTGATCTGAAGGCAGAGGAGGGTAATCGCACTGTTCGATCTTGTGGCACAATGCGAGCAGGTTCATCTTGTCGCTGTAGAAGGGGCTGTGCAGAGCTGCCATCTGAGAGACACAAATATTACTCATCAGAAGATGATCACGTCTCTTTCTGCTGTTCTTGCTTGTATTGCTTACTATTTGACAGTATTACTGTTCCACTATTCTTGTGGCTGTACTTTCAAAACAATGTATTTCAGTATTCTAGTACAGTGCCTTGCCATATACTTTGATTGCAAGTGCATTTCTGTAAAGCAATTTGTGTTTGTTTATACATATTAAGGGGCAAATTAAAATAATTTTATATGGTAATCAACAGTTGACCTTAATTTGTACTGAATTTTCTTGGTAAAAAAAATCATAGTTACAAAAGATTTCAAAAGAATCATATTTCTCTCAAAAATATTGAGCAGCAGAAACTGTTTTCAGCATTTGTAATAATCAGAAATGTTTCTTGAGCAGCAAATCAGCATATTAGAATGATTTCTGAAGGATCAGGTGATACTTAAGACTGGAGTAATGATGCTGAAAATTCAGCTTTGATCACAGGAGTAAATTATATTTTAAAACATATTCATATAGAAAACAGTTATTTTAAATTGCAATAATATATCTCACTTTTTACTGTATTTTTGATCAAATAAATGCAGCCTTTGAGAGACTTCTTTCAAAAAATAAATGACAACTTTTGTACGCTAGTATGAACAAATTACTGTATGTGTTTGTGTACCTCATACAGCAAGCAACCCAAGGACCAGTTGTCTGATTTGAAGTTGTAGCCGTTTTCATGAATCCTCTCGGGAGACATGTAATATGGAGTTCCAACTGGGAAAGACGCAGATACATGTTAAGCAGGTATGCAATGCCTGTGAATTTGCATATTTGAATGGACTGGCTGGTTTTGTTATTTCACTCCATTCAGTACATGCATGAAGTGTGTGTTTATTTGAGTGTTTGTGTAAAGGTCAGTGATACCAAGAGAGTGAGCAGCAGTGGTTTTGGAGCTAAAGAATCGACCTAGTCCAAGGTCACCGAGTTTGACCTCTCCAGTAGCTGTGATGAAGACGTTGGCTGGTTTTATATCTGATGCACACACGAACAAAATAAATGAGTGCACATTAATGAAAAAAATCATATGTGTCTGTATTAGAAAGAAAGTGAGTTTACCTCGATGCATGACTCTGCGTGAGTGCATGTGTTCCAGCGCGCTGCACAGCTGCACAAAATACTTCCATATCGTTCGTTCAGGAATCAACCTCCGCTTCTTCGAGTTTTTGATGAATAGAATTACAAAAAAGCATCATCATCATTATAAATGTCTTCACTGTCACTATCACAATTATGTGCATCCTTGCTAAATAAATGTTTAATTTCTTTTAAAAAACAAAACACTTACTGAACCCAAATTGATCAGGGTAGTTGTCCACTGTTAAATTTAAAATAGCCTACATTTTTAAAATGGTAAAATGTTTAATTTGTGCTTATTTCCAAATGTTTAATGCAAGTAAAATGCAGTATTTTTTCTTTACTAAATGAAATGTTGCTTGCTTAATTTTATACCACTAGCAAAATCATATTGTGAATATTCAATCTATCACCCAGAGCTATGCTGCATCCACACCAATAGGTGTCAGAATAAAGTCTAAAACCACAACCATTTATGCCATTAACATATTGAATATGAATTTTTTACTTAAAGAAATAAAAACACTAACCTCCTGACACTAATGCTGGCTCTAAGCAATTAACACCACACCCCCGCCCCCCAATTTATGAAGTGATAAGCAGCAGGAAATGATGACACACATGCATTTAGACAAATTCTTCCTGTCTCTTATCACCCTGTTTTAGCATTTTCTTTTTTCCAAAACACTCTCTAAATACTAGGGAAATTCTTTCAAACTTCTTAGGTACTACATGTAGGACATGAAACACATTACAGATAAGCCGAGTGCATTGAAGTGTGTGACTTCTGGAGAAGTGCAGGGATACACCATTCCACTTTATCCTGATAGTCATCCTGATACCTGCAAGATGATGCTTTACATGACAATCATGCCTAACAGACTGGATCAGTTGCGTCTCACTTAAATCGAACCTATTAAAAAAGGTCCGTTTTAGTTTCAGTACCTATCCAGGTATCAGATTAGTGTAACCTGAGTAAAGTGTTCCAGAGAATACATTGTAAGTGTGCTGTATGTGCGCAGACGCATGGGAACAGGGGTGTGTATGAGGGTGTGTATGTAGTCTTCAGGGCACGTGTTCTCTTCCACACTGTACGGCTTGACATGTACAAACGGCTCCTGTTTTATTTTAAACAAACTCCAGACAAACCTACTGACCCACATTCACAAATACACACAAACACAAATTACTGTTCCTGTAACATTCCGTGCCTGAGAGGCATAATAAAGACTAATTAGCAGAATGAGCATGTGTTGAATGCATTTTTAAGTGTGTTTGTGCGCACACACACACACACACACACACATATATACAGTGGGTACGGAAAGTATTCAGACCCCCTTAAATTTTTCACTCTTTGTTATATTGCAGCCATTTGCTAAAATCATTTCAGTTAATTTTTTTTCCTCATTAATGTACACACAGCACCCCATATTGACAGAAAAACACAGAATTGTTGACATTTTTGCAGATTTATTAAAAAAGAAAAACTGAAATAACACATGGTCCTAAGTATTCAGACCCTTTGCTCAGTATTTAGTAGAGTATATTAATGCTGTGAAATGATTAATCACATCCAAAACAAAAGTTTTTGTTTGCATAATATATGCATATGTGCTGTGTATATTTATTATGTATATATAAATACATGCATGTAATGCCAAAATATATAATATATACTGTATATGTGTGTATTTATATATACATAATAAATATACACAGTACTCATACATATATTATGTAAACAAAAACTTTGATTTTGGATGCGATTAATCGTTTGACAGCACATATATATGTGTGTGTGTGTGTGTGTGTGTGTGTGTGTGTGTGTGTGTGTGTGTGACCCTAGACCACAAAACCAATCTTAAGTCTCTGGGGTATATTTGTAGCAATAGCCAAAAATACATTGTATGGGTCAAAATTATAGATTTTTCTTTTATGCCAAAACTCATTAGGATATTAAGTAAAGATCATGTTCCATGACCATGAAGATATTTTGTAAATTTCCTACTGTAAATATATTAAAACTTAATTCTTGATCAGTAATATGCATTGCTAAGAACTTAATTTGGACAACTTTAAAGGCGATTTTCTCAATATTTAGATTTTATTGCACCCTCAGATTCCAGATTATATATATTGATAGAAAATTATGTAGATAAAGTTAGATAAAGCTATTTTTGGATCTAGATAGATAGATAGATAGATAGATAGATAGATAGATAGATAGATAGATAGATAGATAGATAGATAGATAGATAGAAAAGACAGCCCACTGAAAGATAACAGACTGAAGGACTGTGTAGACTATCTAGTCAATGTGAGTACAGTAATACTGCTGACTACTATAATCATACTGTAGCTAATAATATATTAAAACAGATTACAGAACACAGAGCACATATTTTTCTCATTTAAAAAAAACAAAAAAAACAAACAAGTCAGTTCCTGGAGAGGGTGGTCCTGTACCAATTTCCTTCCATTCATGTGAAGAAAAATGCAGAGGAAGAATTCTATCCTACCGCCTGAAACAGTGGCACTCTTCTCTCTCTCACACACACACACACACACACACACACACACACACACACACACACACACACACACACACACACAAAGGAACATTATAACAAAGACACACATCTGGACGTGCAGTACTCTGTTCATACACACACCACTGTGTTTGTTTCCAAAACCGCACTGCTTGTGTGTGCTTTCGGTGTGTGTTTTCAGACGGGTTAGAGGTGAATCACATTTTTCTTAGAAACCCTAGAATACTTAGAAACCCGACAAGCATCATCTTGCTAATTCTTATCTACACATGGATTTGTATCACGATGGCTATATTTAGAATCGCATATAACACTACTCTTATAAACGAGTATACTGTTTCTAGCATGTGACTTTTCTGGACGGGAAAGGGTACAGTAGATGGATATAAAAATTTACTTTTTACAGAAAAAAATACTGTACTTTATGAAAAAAATTACACTTTTACTGTGTAAACATGCTAGTAATAACATGTTAATGTAAGTTACCTTACCTTACCTTGGTAAAAAAAAACTGTAAATACTTTAACATCACATTATATGTCATTTTAATGTACACTACTATGTTTTTCATATTTTTTTACTTTGTTCTACATGCTTTTTTGCATGTAAAAACGATGAATTATCATATAATTTATGGTGAAAAAGTATGGACAGGTCACTTATAGGATGAACTCTGATTCAACGTGCAGTTTTCTGTTTTACCACCTGTATTATTATAAAAATAGATTTTGGTTTATTAACAGATAGCCTAGTATGAAACCTATAGAAGTCAATGGCTACCGTCAACCGTTTGGTTACCTGCATTCTTCAATTTCAAAATATCTTCTTGTGTGTTCAACAGAAGTAAGAAACGTACACAGGTTTGGAACAATTAGAGAACGAACCATCCCTTTAAGGATAAAGGATCTAAGATTAGCGGTGGTCTTGAAGAAGTAAACTGCGCAGGGTTCAAGACGTTTGTCTTCCTCTCTGGTGAGTCACGCGCATCTGTTTCCGCCCGATAAAATGCTACAGATCTAACAACTCAATAGCAGAAACCCCCATCACATTTCCCCAATCTCACTTCCAAAAAGCCCCGAACGTGTACAGAAAACCCACACACGTGTCTGATCAAACAGACCTGCATGATAATATCATTAGACTTGGTGAAAGAAGCCCACATCAGTTCTGCATAGTAACCTGTCCCCCAAAAAATGAACACGTTTGACTTGTTTGGCACTGATCTACTGTGCCTGGATGAAAACAACATAACGTACAGTTAAAGTCATTAATCACATGCATATACTCACTACATACCATAACTAGGCCTAATTATTCTGAATAGCCTGAGAGAAGCCGTGAACTTGATAGGTGGCACATCAAGTCAACTACTTAGTTACTCAAGTTTATGCTGTTTTAGTAATACTATTTAGTGTTCATTAATACTTTGAAGGTTTGCTTGTTTATTGCGACTTACTGAATTCCACGTGATTTTATAGCTGTGTCATTTTATGTATTTTTAATTACATGTTTAATATAAATGTTTAATTGTGTTTATTGCTATCAAGCAGTGCTTTTTTGTTTGACATGTTTCCTGTAATTGTATGAGTCAGCTCAATAAAAAATAGGGAGTAAAAAAAGCTATTTTGTGTCCAAAAACAAACACGTGAATGGATACACACAAACAGTGTGTGTGGGCGGAGTCAGAACTGCAGCTTTTCCTTATAAAAAACAACCGCTCTTCAGTGCGATCATACAAATAACCAAACATTAAAAGCGACTTATTATCAGAATAAATAAACCATAATGACATGCAAGTGTTGATTCAGAGCAGTAAGCTATATCTGCACATATAATCGAAGTTACAGTGTGAAAGTGGGTGTTCCCGTTGAACTAGAGGAGCATTAATGTGTGTTTTATTCCCTATACAACATTTACAGTACGATGCGATTGTTTTGTTTATTTATTGCCGTTAACGCTTCTGGAAACATATCAATCAAACTTATATTCAGAAAACAGATGCATGAACTTTCAAAACAGATCTACTTTCCGCGCAAGAGCATTAGACGTGAACTAAAGCATGCAATACTCGCACTGCCTACCTTGCGTCGTTCCATGTAAATTAGTTTAATCCAATGCAACTGAACAGCCTTGTGTTCATTTAGATTCTCTCTCTCTCTTTTTCTTATTGCAGTACGGCGACATTATGCACCCCACGAATAATTTGACACGATATCTTCTTCTACATGAAAAACAGCACTGTAACGCCGAGGCGCGCGAGCATTTTCGCAGCGAATTGGGTTTGAAAGTCATGCAGTAGTTCCACTTACCTCTCCAGCGCGGTGCATCAGACATTTACAGGACTGAAAAATGCTGCGAAGCCCCTTTGGTCAGTTTCCAGACTCTCTAATGTCACGGGCCACGCAAGTTTGAGTCACACCCCGCGCATCACATGGCTGTGATCACTGATCTGTGACTACAGTAACCCACTGCTCCTGTCCGTCACTTTCTCAGCAAGGAAAAAAAGGTTTGTAATTCAGGTATTTTGTTTCATGGCTGGGAGCATTAAAGGATTATTATTATTATTACTGAATGATAATAATTACTTTAATAATAATTTTTTTTATTTAAATGTGACTAATATCACCACTTAATAATAACATTACGGCTAGGCCTACTACTAATAATTAAAAATGTCCAATGGTTTTTATTTTTTTTATATGTGCCAATCATTTCACAAACAATAATAATAATAATAATAATAATATATTATTATTTTTTTAGTGGTAGTAGTCGTACTAGTACTGTTTACAATACAGTCATATTATTTATTATATTATTTATTTTTATTTAATTGACATAATAATACCAAAACCATATAATAATAATAATAGTAATGAATGAGTAAATAAATAAATAACAATAATAAGGGGTCTGATAATTATTCTTATATTATTTATTTTTATTTAATTGACATAATAATACCAAAACCATATAATAATAATAATAGTAATGAATGAGTAAATAAATAAATAACAATAATAAGGGGTCTGATAATTATTCTTATATTATTTATTTTTATTTAATTGACATAATAATACCAAAACCATATAATAATAATAATAGTAATGAATGAGTAAATAAATAAATAACAATAATAAGGGGTCTGATAATTATTCTTATATTATTTATTTTTTAATTTAATTGACAATAATGTCACAGCTGCTACATAATAATAATAATAATATATTATAAATAATAATAATAATAATTATTATTTTATTAGTAGTCTTACTAGTAGTATTTACAGTAAGTCATATTATTTATTATATTATTTATTTTTATTTAATTTACATAATAATACCAAAACCATATAATAATAATAATAATGAATGAGTAAATAAATAAATAACAATAATAAGGGGGTCTGATAATTATTCTTATATTATTTATTTTTTTATTTAATTGACAATAATATCACAGCTGCTACATAATAATAATAATATACATAATAATAATAATTATTATTTTATTAGTAGTCTTACTAGTAGTATTTACAGTAAGTCATATTATTTATTATATTATTTATTTTTATTTAATTGACATAATAATACCAAAACCATATAATAATAATAATTTAGTAAATAAATAAATAACAATAATAAGGGGTCTGATAATTATTCTTATATTATTTATTTTTTAATTTAATTGACAATAATATCACAGCTGCTACATAATAATAATAATAATAATAATATATTATAAATAATAATAATCATTATTATTTTATTAGTAGTCTTACTAGTAGTATTTACAGTAAGTCATATTATTTATTATATTATTTATTTTTATTTAATTGACATAATAATACCAAAACCATATAATAATAATAATTTAGTAAATAAATAAATAACAATAATAAGGGGTCTGATAATTATTTTTTATATTTTATTTATTTGACAATATCACAACTGCTTCATATTAATAATAATAATAATAAATGTTGACTTTTATATTTCTAATTTTTAATAACCTATTAGTAGTAGTGGTGGTATATTGACAAAAAAAATATGTTGAAGAAATGCATAAATGAAGCTCTGCAGCCTTATACGTCCCAAACCTAACCTTTAGGATGGGTAATTCAGACAGGTCTATGACAGCATCATGACGACATTTGTTTCAGTATAACCCCATGTGCAATAATGGTACGGCAGCAAAACCCCCAGACTTTTCATGTGGCCTGCTATGGTTTATGGAAAGCGGACTCACACCTTTCTAGAGTTTGCTGCCTCTCCCACCTCTCTCGGTCTCTTGCACACACACACACGCTCATTTCAACCGAATAGTTGACATTCTTGTGGGGAAATTATGAGCAAATACCTTTCCAACATGTGTCAGCCTTTAACACACAAAAACTCACAGACACCTTGTCAAAGTTTGCTGTTGCAGACAGTCGTATTTGACATGTTGTACTGGAGGAAGTGGCAAAATGTCTGTTTAGTGGCATTAAAAAAAGATTGATATAAAACTGTAGAGGACTTCTGCTTTTTCATTTTAACTGTGTGTGTGTGTGTGTGTGTGCATATAGAGGAACTATGAATGAATGTGCGGTTTGTGGATTTGTATGATTCTTTCTTGAGCAATCATCAGGCATTTCAGTAATTTGAAATTCACTAGCGCCCCCTCGAGGTCTCAGACGGTGAAAAAAGAGAGAACGAGCCTATCATTGCCATCATATTTTTGCACAAAGAATACCATGAATACAGTAATCATTCAGACCACGACTAGCCAGTGAATTTGTGGAGCACTAGGGAAGTTTAAGAAAATGGGTGTAAACAATATATAATGTACTTTTTCTAATATGTATAATGTAACAATAAATGCATAATGTGAATTTAAGTAAATGTATTTTCATTTTACTGTTGAATATATTTTACATGTGTATGTGTATCAGAAAATGACCACTTTAGTAGCTACATATTTAATGTTTAAGGTCTTAAAGTTTGCAAAGTAAACATGCAAGGACAAAAATAAAAGATGAATAAAATTACAAATAAATAAGTAAATAAATACAAAGATAGAAATACACTTAAATCACGTGTGTAGGCCTAAATGCTTTCCGTGTAAGTGTCTGTAGTGGTCTGTGGGAAGGAGAGCAGTGTGTCCTGTAATCTCCCATCCATAAAAGCACACATGTGTAAACACAAACCAGACACACACGTACACACGTGCTTCCTCGTGGTAAACACTTGGTCGAACCACAACCACAAGCTTGAAATGTGCAGCATTATAGAAATAGTCCAAATCAAACAGCACTCCTTCATTATTTCTACGTTCTTCTACCTCTTTCCACCTTCCGGATGATTTTTTGTTTATTCGACGAATGTGCAGAATTTTTTAAGAACCCCTAACGAAGAGAAATTCCGGAAAATATTTTCTACAGTACAAACCTAAGACTTCATTAGCAGCTAATAAAAAATGCGGTCATGGAAGAAAGACTGCAGCGAATCTCTTTCTCTGTTTGATGCTGTGACCGCGTATCTCTGCCAATCTCTCCAGCTCTGGCTGACTTCAGTCTCAGCTCGTCCTCTTTCCACCTTCCGGATGATTTTTTGTTTATTCGACGAATGTGCAGAATTTTTTAAGAACCCCTAACGAAGAGAAATTCCGGAAAATATTTTCTAAGACTTCATTAGCAGCTAATAAAAAATGCGGTCATGGAAGAAAGACTGCAGCGAATCTCTTTCTCTGTTTGATGCTGTGACCGCGTATCTCTGCCAATCTCTCCAGCTCTGGCTGACTTCAGTCTCAGCTCGTAACTGCACAATGCAAACCACAATCACCTCAGTACGGATCAAGATAATTACACTGGACAAACTTTACACACGCAAGCACTCACACTCACACAAAATAAGAAAACAACACACCAGAGTCAAATAATCAAACGCCACACACTTCAGTGCTGAATAAACAAACATCTTTTTTTTTCAGAATGTGAATACTTTATTTAAGCCTAGTTAATCTTGTTCAGGGAGTTCAAATAAAAGTTACCACATCTGATTTTCCTCTGTGCGCATATGGGTGTATGTAGGCATGTTCAAATAGGTTTACTGTTCAGTTCAGTCATGATGATATAGACTCTTAATGACTTGATATTAGTAACACACTACTGTTCAAAAGATTGTTGGTATAGGGTTTTTTAAATGTTTTTTGAATTTAGTCTCTTTTGCTCACCAAGGCTGCATTTATTTGATCAATGATACAGTAAAAACTGTAATATCGTTAATTATTGCAGTTTTAAATGGCTATTTTCAAATTAAATATACTGTAAAATGCAATGTATTCCTGTCTTGTCAAAGCTGAATTTTCAGCATCATTACTCCAGTCTTCAGTGTCACATGATCCTTCAGAAATCATTCTACGATGCTGATTTGCTGCAAGAAACGTTTCTTATCATTGCAATATTGAAAATTTTTTCATCTTAATATTGTTGTGAAAACTGTTTTGATGAATAGAAAGTTTGAAAAGTCTTTACTGTATTTTTTGATCAGTGCCCTCTTACAAATGATATTAGACATTTATATATAAACAATTGGATAAAAATGCCATTTCCAAGATGACATCTGGATGCAACTTGCAGATGTACAAAACAACGATTTCCAATTTATCTATTGCATATTGATACACTACATTTAAAATGTAACAGGCATCATATAGTATGCAATATGCAGTATACAGTACATACTATGCTAGTATTCCGAATTTCATTCTGGACAAAATTGAAATGGCATGACAGTAAAAGACAGTGCTGGATGAGGCCTTTCTTTTACTGTGCGATTCTCTTTCCTTCAGTTAATGAATGATAGTTATACACAGATCTTAAAGAGCAGGTCATATGGGGTTTCGAAAAAATTTTCGAATTTGTTTTCTGACCTTAGATGCATTTAAACCTGTTGTAGGGGACTCCAACACAATATTAGGACACTTTAAAATACCATATGACCTGCTCTTTAAGGTAATATAACATTAATCAAAACTATGTTTAAGAGTGGTAGAGGAACTCAGGCATTGGGGAGTTTGTGTTGTGACTGTGTTGTGCGTGTTGTGATGGAGAGGTGCCGGTGGGGCTGGATGGGCTCAGAGATCTGTGGGACAGTTGGGGTGAAGGCACTGATGGGGATGTGATTGTGGAATTGTCAGAAACATTGTCCACTCCCACGCTCTCCTGATATAGACAGTTTCTCCTGAGTTTTGCACGGGCATTTTGGAACCAAACCTGCAGAAAATGAAGACATCATTAGGATTTGACACAAACTTATTTACATATCATCAGTGATGGAGGGAATGAAAGATTTTTTTTTTTTTTCACGGAAACAAGAACATCTGACTGTCTGTATTCAAAGGAATAACATGATCAATTGTTGTAAATTTACTTTGATTAGTGGCCTAGAAATAGTGCCAAACCTCAAACATTTTCTAAACCTTACACTATGGAAGCCCATTTTCCACCATGAAATAAATAAATAAAAGAGGTAATTGCAACTTTTTATCTCATAATTCTGACATTTTCTTGCAATTGTACGTTTACATCTCACACTTCTGACTTGTTTTCTCGCAATTGTGAAATCTTGTTCCACCAAAAAATAACTTTTTTTTCACAGTTCTAACCTTTTTGTCTCAGAATTTTAAATGCAATTTGAAATTATGAACTCGTAATTGTGAGTTCACAACTTCACATCTCTCCTTTTTTAATCTAATTTTATATCTCACACTTTTTTTTCCTCACAATTTCCTGTTTAAATCTCACAATTCTGACTTTTTTTTTCCAGAATTGCAAATCCAAATTTTTTGTAATTGCGAGTTTACATCTTGGAATTCTGACTTTTTTTTCTCATAATTCTGCAATTATGGAAGCTTGAATGGGATAAAAACAAATAAAAAAAAGGTAATTGCGACTTTTTATCGTACAATTCTGACCTTTTTTCTTGCAACGATTTTATATCTCACAATTTTGTCTTTGTAAATTCAGAATTCTGAGAATAGAAGTCTGAATTGTGAGATGTAAACTCATAATTCATCAGTAGGATTTGACAACATTAGAAATTGTGAGATGTAAACGAGAGGTAAACTCACAATTACAAGATATAAATTCAGAATTGTGAGATATAAACTCTCAATTCTTGGAAAAAAAACAAGCTTCCATTCTAAACCTTTCTGTTTATTTCCATGCTTAAATGCCACATTTTCAATGTGGTCTCAGACTTTTGGATCCCACTGTATATCAAACTCAAACAGAGGTTCAGAGAGGTTTTTCTGACCTGGAGCACACGTTTGGTGAGGCCGGTTTTCTGGGCGAGCTCTTTGAGGTCTTTGGCATCTGGATTGTGGTTGTGGGTGAAGAGTAACACACTACTGTTCAAAAGATTGTTGGTATAGGGTTTTTTAAATGTTTTTTGAATTTAGTCTCTTTTGCTCACCAAGGCTGCATTTATTTGATCAATGATACAGTAAAAACTGTAATATTGTTAAATATTATTGCAGTTTTAAATGGCTATTTTCAAATTAAATATACTGTAAAATGCAATGTATTCCTGTCTTGTCAAAGCTGAATTGTCAGCATCATTACTCCAGTCTTCAGTGTCACATGATCCTTCAGAAATCATTCTAAGATGCTGATTTGCTGCAAGAAACGTTTCTTATCATTGCAATATTGAAAATTTTTTCATCTTAATATTGTTGTGAAAACTGTTTTGATGAATAGAAAGTTTGAAAAGTCTTTACTGTATTTTTTGATCAGTGCCCTCTTACAAATGATATTAGACATTTATATATAAACAATTGGATAAAAATGCCATTTCCAAGATGACATCTGGATGCAACTTGCAGATGTACAAAACAACGATTTCCAATTTATCTATTGCATATTGATACACTACATTTAAAATGTAACAGGCATCATATAGTATGCAATATGCAGTATACAGTACATACTATGCTAGTATTCCGAATTTCATTCTGGACAAAATTGAAATGGCATGACAGTAAAAGACAGTGCTGGATGAGGCCTTTCTTTTACTGTGCGATTCTCTTTCCTTCAGTTAATGAATGATAGTTATACACAGATCTTAAAGAGCAGGTCATATGGGGTTTCGAAAAAATTTTCGAATTTGTTTTCTGACCTTAGATGCATTTAAACCTGTTGTAGGGGACTCCAACACAATATTAGGACACTTTAAAATACCATATGACCTGCTCTTTAAGGTAATATAACATTAATCAAAACTATGTTTAAGAGTGGTAGAGGAACTCAGGCATTGGGGAGTTTGTGTTGTGACTGTGTTGTGCGTGTTGTGATGGAGAGGTGCCGGTGGGGCTGGATGGGCTCAGAGATCTGTGGGACAGTTGGGGTGAAGGCACTGATGGGGATGTGATTGTGGAATTGTCAGAAACATTGTCCACTCCCACGCTCTCCTGATATAGACAGTTTCTCCTGAGTTTTGCACGGGCATTTTGGAACCAAACCTGCAGAAAATGAAGACATCATTAGGATTTGACACAAACTTATTTACATATCATCAGTGATGGAGGGAATGAAAGATTTTTTTTTTTTTTCACGGAAACAAGAACATCTGACTGTCTGTATTCAAAGGAATAACATGATCAATTGTTGTAAATTTACTTTGATTAGTGGCCTAGAAATAGTGCCAAACCTCAAACATTTTCTAAACCTTACACTATGGAAGCCCATTTTCCACCATGAAATAAATAAATAAAAGAGGTAATTGCAACTTTTTATCTCATAATTCTGACATTTTCTTGCAATTGTACGTTTACATCTCACACTTCTGACTTGTTTTCTCGCAATTGTGAAATCTTGTTCCACCAAAAAATAACTTTTTTTTCACAGTTCTAACCTTTTTGTCTCAGAATTTTAAATGCAATTTGAAATTATGAACTCGTAATTGTGAGTTCACAACTTCACATCTCTCCTTTTTTAATCTAATTTTATATCTCACACTTTTTTTTCCTCACAATTTCCTGTTTAAATCTCACAATTCTGACTTTTTTTTTCCAGAATTGCAAATCCAAATTTTTTGTAATTGCGAGTTTACATCTTGGAATTCTGACTTTTTTTTCTCATAATTCTGCAATTATGGAAGCTTGAATGGGATAAAAACAAATAAAAAAAGGTAATTGCGACTTTTTATCGTACAATTCTGACCTTTTTTCTTGCAACGATTTTATATCTCACAATTTTGTCTTTGTAAATTCAGAATTCTGAGAATAGAAGTCTGAATTGTGAGATGTAAACTCATAATTCATCAGTAGGATTTGACAACATTAGAAATTGTGAGATGTAAACGAGAGGTAAACTCACAATTACAAGATATAAATTCAGAATTGTGAGATATAAACTCTCAATTCTTGGAAAAAAAACAAGCTTCCATTCTAAACCTTTCTGTTTATTTCCATGCTTAAATGCCACATTTTCAATGTGGTCTCAGACTTTTGGATCCCACTGTATATCAAACTCAAACAGAGGTTCAGAGAGGTTTTTCTGACCTGGAGCACACGTTTGGTGAGGCCGGTTTTCTGGGCGAGCTCTTTGAGGTCTTTGGCATCTGGATTGTGGTTGTGGGTGAAGAAGTTCTGCATGCTCCGCAGCTGGTGATGTTTGAAAGACGTTCTCATGCGTTTGGACTTCTGACAGCTCACTCTCTCCGACAAGTCCACACCCATATCGCTCACATCTAGAGTGCACACAAACAGTTAATCATCACTGATATGACTCACACTAAAGGCCAGGACATTACAATCAACAATATGGCAATACGATCTTTGAGGTTTATTAGTCTGGTTTCAGAAACTTTCACTCTACTGAGACTGCAATGTTGAAGGTTTTTAATGATATACTATTAACATGTGACTCAGGCAACTACGCTGTTCTTGTGCTTTTAGATCTTACTGCCACATTTGATACTGTTGATCATGCTGTCCTTATTGATCGATTGGAACACTGTGCAGGTATTACAGGCAGTGCATTGGAGTGGTTTAAATCTTATCTTACCAATAGAAGTTTTTCAGTTAATATAGGAGATCGTACTTCTTTTAATGCTGTATTAACCTGTGGGGTTCCCCAAGGATCCATTTTGGCTCCTATCCTTTTTTCTTTATATATGCTTCCACTTGGTTCCATTTTTAGAAAATATGGGCTGTCATTCCATTGTTATGCTGACGATACTCAAGTTTATCTGCCTTTAAAATGGAATTCAGATGGACTGGATGCTCTCCTGGCCTGTTTGACAGATGTAAAGGCATGGTTGTCGCTAAACTTTCTGAATTTCAATGAGAAAAAAACAGAAATTATTGTTTTTAAACCCTCAGATTCTTTGACTGCTCTCAATCCAAACCTTGGTGGGTTATCATCATGTGTTAAGCAATATGTGAAAAATTTGGGTGTTGTATTTGATGAACATCTGAAGTTTGATAGGCAGATAAATTCTGTGATCAAATCATCCTTTTTTCAGTTGCGGATCCTGTCTAAAGCGGAAACTTTTCTTTCTTTTAAAAACTTTGAGAAAGTGATTCATGCTTTTATTACCTCTAGATTAGATTACTGTAACTCACTTTATGCTGGGATTAGTCAAACAGCTTTATCCCGATTACAATTGGTTCAGAATGCGGCAGCTAGACTTTTGGATTCATAAACGGGATCATATTACTCCGGTTTAACAGTCTTTACACTGGCTGCCTGTGCGTCACAGAGTAGATTTTAAAATGTTACTATATTATATATATATATATATATATATATATATATATATATATATATATATTCAATATACACAATTACAAGATATAAATTCAGAATTGTGAGATATAAACTCTCAATTCTTGGAAAAAAAACAAGCTTCCATTCTAAACCTTTCTGTTTATTTCCATGCTTAAATGCCACATTTTCAATGTGGTCTCAGACTTTTGGATCCCACTGTATATCAAACTCAAACAGAGGTTCAGAGAGGTTTTTCTGACCTGGAGCACACGTTTGGTGAGGCCGGTTTTCTGGGCGAGCTCTTTGAGGTCTTTGGCATCTGGATTGTGGTTGTGGGTGAAGAAGTTCTGCATGCTCCGCAGCTGGTGATGTTTGAAAGACGTTCTCATGCGTTTGGACTTCTGACAGCTCACTCTCTCCGACAAGTCCACACCCATATCGCTCACATCTAGAGTGCACACAAACAGTTAATCATCACTGATATGACTCACACTAAAGGCCAGGACATTACAATCAACAATATGGCAATACGATCTTTGAGGTTTATTAGTCTGGTTTCAGAAACTTTCACTCTACTGAGACTGCAATGTTGAAGGTTTTTAATGATATACTATTAACATGTGACTCAGGCAACTACGCTGTTCTTGTGCTTTTAGATCTTACTGCCACATTTGATACTGTTGATCATGCTGTCCTTATTGATCGATTGGAACACTGTGCAGGTATTACAGGCAGTGCATTGGAGTGGTTTAAATCTTATCTTACCAATAGAAGTTTTTCAGTTAATATAGGAGATCGTACTTCTTTTAATGCTGTATTAACCTGTGGGGTTCCCCAAGGATCCATTTTGGCTCCTATCCTTTTTTCTTTATATATGCTTCCACTTGGTTCCATTTTTAGAAAATATGGGCTGTCATTCCATTGTTATGCTGACGATACTCAAGTTTATCTGCCTTTAAAATGGAATTCAGATGGACTGGATGCTCTCCTGGCCTGTTTGACAGATGTAAAGGCATGGTTGTCGCTAAACTTTCTGAATTTCAATGAGAAAAAAACAGAAATTATTGTTTTTAAACCCTCAGATTCTTTGACTGCTCTCAATCCAAACCTTGGTGGGTTATCATCATGTGTTAAGCAATATGTGAAAAATTTGGGTGTTGTATTTGATGAACATCTGAAGTTTGATAGGCAGATAAATTCTGTGATCAAATCATCCTTTTTTCAGTTGCGGATCCTGTCTAAAGCGGAAACTTTTCTTTCTTTTAAAAACTTTGAGAAAGTGATTCATGCTTTTATTACCTCTAGATTAGATTACTGTAACTCACTTTATGCTGGGATTAGTCAAACAGCTTTATCCCGATTACAATTGGTTCAGAATGCGGCAGCTAGACTTTTGGATTCATAAACGGGATCATATTACTCCGGTTTAACAGTCTTTACACTGGCTGCCTGTGCGTCACAGAGTAGATTTTAAAATGTTACTATATTATATATATATATATATATATATATATATATATATATATATATATATATATTTTTTATGTATATTTTTTTTTT